ATTTGTGGTCTGAAAAGTTGATTGGTAGAATTTCAGTCTTTCTATGGAGCCTTCTTTAATGACAGGTCTTCCATATGGAAGGCAGGAGTAAGAGACATCATTATTGTTCCTCTTACTTATATTTTGTACATTTATACAAAAACTAAATGTTCTCTTTATGCCTTGAACAAAGGTATTGTACTTCCTAATCCTTAGATGTCACATTTGAAGCCAAATTAAGTGAACTTTTACAGCTATGAACATGTTGTTACCCTTGGCCTTTAAATGAGGGCACAGCCTGTTAGATCAGGAAACCAAATAATTAACAAAATAATGAATTTATTTACTCTTGGAAGCAAATTAATTGCTGACTTTTGTCTTTAATTAAATAAGGAACAGCAGTATATAAATACGGTGATATGTGTGAGAGAGTAGTTAAATTCTTTTAGCGACAGTGTTATGAAATTTCAAAGTTGAACTGTAAGGAAGGTATAGCATGTGCTGATCTTTCAGGCAGTCTAATGTGGGGGGGAAACAGCCTTGAACCCAGGAGACCTGGATTCTGGTCCCAACTGTACCTTTAGTTGATTATGAGGCATTTTGACATTCCTGAGCATTTCCTCATCTATTTAGTGAATTAAATCACCATGAAAGATATTTTAAACCTTAAAACATTATCAAGTACAGGGAATGATCTAGATGCTATGGGTACTGGGGAAACACAGAGAGATTCCTCTTGATAGGAAACAGATAATCAGAAATACACGTGCATTAGTACATTTCTTAAATGTGGCATTCATAAACAATTAATAGTGCCACAAAGTCAATAAACCTTAACTGTATATTTTCTTTCTCTTTTTTTTTTTAGCTGACATGAAGAGGAATGTTGGCAAGCTTCATATTTTGGCTGCATGTCTAAAACTCGATGACAATCCTTTTCAGAATGCCAAAGACTTAGTGCTGCCACAGCTACCCTCCACGCCTCTGTACCCAAATGCGAAGGTTGCAGAGGTGCTGAGTAGTCTACTGGGAGAAAAGTACTTTTCTGAAAACGTACAGTTGCCACATAAATATCATATTGGTATAAGACTTTATATGATTTTCCTTTTTTATTTTACTGATTTTCCCTTTTTTCTAACAAAAATTGAGTTCACTGTGGCAGGTTTTGTATAGTGCAGCTTGGGCTCTGGAGCTGGACTGCCTGGTTTGGGTCTCTTGCTGTGCTGCACACATGCTGTTAGGCACTTGCCAGCTTCCATTTCTTACTTGTCAAATGGCAGTAAGAGTAATACTACCCACCTCATAGGGTTCCTGTGATTGATGAGATTATGTATGTATAACCCAGATGAGTGTCTGCTACATGGTGAGCTCAATATATTTTAGCTGCTGCCCATTATCATTATTGTTAGTAGTAACAGACACTTTGAAAGAGAAACTCACTTTGAGTAATGTTTGAAAAATCAGTATCAATTTTTTTCTTTCAGATTTTGAAATCAGAATGGATACTAAAAGGAATCAAGTGCTTCCATTTTCTCCTGTGGATTTGTCAACTCCTGCTACAAATATTCAGAGGTTGTTTACATATATTAATTTGTTGAGCTTTCTAAATTTTAAATCTTAATTCCCAAAGACTTCATATTAAATAGCAGTAACAGTACTAAGACTTTATAGTTGTATGGAGCTTTTCATCTATGCATCACCCCTTAGGTGTAAGTGTGGGTCCTGTGGTTGAAGACTGGACTAGTGTTGGGCCAATCAACAAAATAGGCAATTTTTAAAAGTTGGGTTTTAAAGCTAAGTAGTTCAGTAAAACAGTGCTTAACATCATTGAAACTACCAGTGTATTGTAAATGTCTGACAAGGTAATGTAATAGTGATCAAAATAATTAAGTTTTCTATAGAAACCAAATATTCAATAAACATTTTGCTGTACTACCAAGAAGACCTTTCTAAAGGTAGAAAAACTAACTTTTTAATTATGCTGTATTGTGTATGGGTTGTATTGAAATGAATACACTGCAAGTAGGGTGTCTCTGGGAAAAGTGTGATGCTGTGTGTGAGGGAATGTCCTACTTTTTAAGCAGGTTCATCAGATCATGTTGCACACAATCCGTGTCAGTCAGCCTTGGTGGAAAGGCTTTGCTAGGCCCTGTGGGACACACAAAATTGAATCAAACATGAATCACGATCCCCAGGAACTTATGTCCCCTGTTGCTCAATAGGACATGCATATAAATACAGTAGAGAGAGACACAGAAAAGAATCAGTAGGGATTCAAGCTCTTATCTACCCAGCCTTCTCCGTTCACATGCAACATCTGTAACTTTTACCCCTTTCTGAATCCATCTAACTCATTCCTTGGCCATCGTTTTCAACTGCTATCTTTCCTATTCAGGTCACCCATATCCCCTCAAAAGTTTCTCTCCTACCTTTGAAAGCTAATTTCCCGTTTTTAGGTGCTCCACTGTTCTTACACAATAATATAATATAGTAGCCTAATGTACTGAGAAGAAGTTAGGAATCTGAGCATGCCTTTACAAATTTCTCTTACTTTATCTCAATTAATAGCCAGAGTACAACAGAAGACAATAAAGATAGAAGCAAACTTAGTATTTCCAAAAGGCCGAGAACAATGAGAAAACAAATTACACCTTCCGCATTTGTTATACATACAGATGTTATCTTTTTAACAGTCTTGCCTTTCGCTTTGTGTTTTTTTCTTTGTATTTGATCTCCTCGTTCTGTTTTTTATGTGTTTCTCTCTGGTAGAGAGCATGTACAACATGTGCAAGAAAAGCATTTACTGTTTGGTATCCTCTCCATTAGTTTTTCTAGCAGCATAAATAACTATGTGAGATCAGAGATGAGCACCACTGCACAGGAACGCCTCAAAATGGGTACTTTCTTAACTGAAAGTTTTCCTCATTGACATTGTAGCCATCCTGGAAGATTGTTGAGGGATTCAAACCTGCTTTGCATTGTCAGTACAAAGCAATTATATAAGCTTTCGGTTTCTGAAGTAGCCTTCATATTCTGGAGGACTAAGATAGTAGGAAACAGTGAAGGCTGTGCCCAGTGGAAAGCTCAGCTTGGAAATCTACAAAGAACAGAAATGCACAAGATTATAAATGGTAATCTCCTTAATAACTAGTCTCCTATGTGTATTTTTGTTTTTAGAGTGGCTGTACTGTGTGTTCCTAAATCTAATTACTGTTTGGATTCAGCCCACCCTAGAGGATTCCTTGCTATGAAAATGCGGCATTTGAAAGTAATGGGTTTTCATGTGATCTTGGTAAGAAAAAAATGCTAATGAAATATTATTTTATTGATATCCATTCTGCCAGGAATGTTGTCATTGAAGTTGGCTCCAAGGGCTCTAGTGAAATTGTCAGGAGTAGTGAATAAGTGTTTTGGTTATTATTCTCCTTGAAAAAGAACATTTCCGATAGATGACTTGACTTCTAGTCAGCTGATTACTATTATTTACTAGAGGCTTTCTAAATGCAACATTTGGTCAGCTTTAATCCTCTCTGTTAAGAGGGAATATGTAAATAATGTTTTTTCTTATTTAATTTAAGACACATGAAGCCATATTCAATTTCTAGGTTATCTTGAATGAGGGAAGGAAAAAAGATGTTAATTAAAGCTTTGTTTTCATGGGCCAGTGTGAGGTTGTTACAGAATGTTTGTCACTAGAAAAAGCTGGATGGTTGTGAAGAGGATGGTTAGTCCTCCTCCTCTTACATTTCATTTTGATTCCAAGTACCATAACTTTCTTGAATAGCCTCTCCAGATGTCTCTGTACGGAGCCAAGAACTTTATAAAGATAAATTTATATTAATGTTAATGTTGACATCTATCCAAATGCCACTCATTTGGTCTTACACATATGTCAGATGTAAACATTTGATTCTTCATCATGATACTTTAATATCCAAAAATGAATCATGCACAGACTACTAAGGTTAAGATGACTCATTTCTCTTAATGGAGTTCTTAAAATTCCACACTGATAATTATATGTGTTCTAAGTTGGAAAGGAATTTTTGCACAATATCTTTAGAGGACCCTTAAAGTTTTTATAATTCTCACTGTTAGAACTTTCCTTAGCACATAGTCTTGCTAAGCTAGTCTTGCTGAGTAATTATAAGATATTTGCTTTTAAAAAGCAGTTGGCTTAATGTAACTTTAATATGCTTAAATCTCGGACCAAGCTTTTTTCATTTTTTTATGGGTCATCATCATCTTGCAGACTGATCGTTTTCCTTTCTTTGTTTGGTAAGGTCAATAATTGGGAGATGGAAAAACTAGAGATGAAGGATGCAGTCAAATTTTTGAAGACTCAGATCTATTCATCTGAAGCCTTTCCTACTGGTGGTGTAAATTTGCAAAGCACACATTAAAGTGAAAAGCAACTTTTTCATATTAGGAGAAGTAAGTTTGTAAAAATAACATTAATAAAGACTACAATTCACTTGTCAGTGGAATTCACCTGACTGCTCAGTTCACTGTTAAAATTCATTTTAAGAATGGAAAAAATGTTACTGGCATTTTAAAATAAGAAAATTCCAGGATGGTCATTTTTCCAACCATACCTATTCCTGCTAGTGCCCAGATATTTGACAAATCCATAAGCTGTAGGTTTCACTTGTTCTCATTAGCTTTGATGAATTGAAAACTGGTTTCTTAGTTATATGTTGCAGGTGAGTTGGTGTGGCAGTCCTTGCGTTTGGAATCTGTGTATTTATACTCCTGCTGTAAGCTGTTCTAGGACTCGGACACTGACCACCTTTTCAAGCATTGGTCAACAATTGGACCAGGTTCCCAAGTTATAGAATGGGTAAGAATTAATGAGGTAGCATGTTAATAATGGGTGAGGATCGGCATCTTCATTTGCAGCAAGCATCGTAGGTGGAAGTGGTTCATGGGCCATGCTAAGAGAAACATGAGATAATACAGGGATGGCAAAAAGTCCAAAGTTATTAAACCAACAGGCTATGGGTTGATAAAAACTCTTGCTGTCATTGAGGTTATTCCTCTCTCTTTCTTCTCTTTGCCCTCTCCCACCATTTATGAAGTCTTTTGAATTATGTGTATACTGGAACTGTTTTGTGAGTCAGACATGACAACTGTGTTTCAATCACATTTGTTCATTCTTCCTTTGAAATACTTGTTCAAGTTTGCTGTATGCCTATCTACCTAGTGTTTGACCCACTGGGAATACAGTGCATTTCACTTGTGAAAACTGAGTGTCAGGTAGGTTGGCATTATTTTACCCCCATGCAGAAGACTGAATCTTTGTGTCCTCCCAGAATTCGTATGTTGAAACCTAATCCTCAATATGATGGTATTTGAAGGTAGAGCTTTGGGAGGTGATGAGTTCATGAGGTGGAGCCCTCATGGATTTGTTAGTGCTCTTATGAAAGAGACCCAGAGAGCTCTCTTGCTGCTGTCGGAAGGTGACCATCTGTGAGCCAAGAAGGGGCCCTCAGCAGACACCGAAGCTGCCAGAGCTTTGATCTTGGACTTCCCAGCGTCCAGAACTGGGAGAAACAGATTTCTGTTGTTTATGAGCTACCCAGTCTAATGGTATTCTGTTCATATCAGCCCAAGTGGACTAAGACACCCCAAACAATTACTGGCCATCTTACTCTGTGCCAGGCATTGCTAAACATTCACATGTATTCTTTCTTTTCATTATTTTAGCTCTTTGAGGCATAGCTACTGTTACGATTCTCTCAGGGCCCTTATTACCTTATCTCTAATATAGGATAAATTATTTGCCAAGTCTACACAGATAGTAAGTAGGGCAGTCCTAGAGTTGAACCTGAGCAGACGTGGGCTTATGAGAGAAGTAGTTGAGGAACCCCAAGCAGTCAATGAAAAAACTCCTGCAGTATGATTGCAATTGTCAGAGGTTTCATCGATAAAGTCAGCCTGCGTTTAGAAAGGTTAGAGTTGAAGGGAAATTAGTAATCATTTAATCCACTTCTCATTTTATGGATGAAGAAGTTAAAGCTCAAAGAATTCGACTTTTCTGGAGGCTTAGCCATTTAACTGATTTTCACATCATTTCAACCTCTGCTGCTCTTCAGCTTTTGTCTCAGGAAATCCGGATTCTGATTAGATGACATTTAGTTTTGTGTACTTGGTCAAGTGATTTAATCCTTACAAGTTTCAGAACAAGAGTTGAAAATACTGTTATTAAAAAAACTAAGGTTCGTTCCTTTAATGTGTGTATAGGTTTCTTCTAGTGGCTAATTAGGACTTACATTCAAAGGATTGGACATATTTATGAACACTTTGTAAACTACCTTTTGGGAAGTAGTTCTCTTGAGTTTGTACCAACTGGCCTGGCAGACAAAAGGCTTTCCTCTTATACTAATATTACTAGTATTTGCAATCTTCTGTGCTTTGTGATCTAATAAAGTCTTGTGAGACTCAGTACAGACTGAAGGAAAACAGTTTAATAATATATGTCTTCTCAGGATAAACATTTACTCCCCACTCCAGAAGAATATATTACATATTATTCTTTTCTGGTTCTTATTCATTGGCTCAAGAAAAATCCCACACAACCGCAGTTTGATTTCATGTACCCATCTCTTACACAATGAGAGAGGATCAATAAATAAATAAAAAATGGGAGTTTATAAATCAAATTCTGACTGCTCTTGATCAAATCACAAGATATTTTATATGTTAGTACCACTACATTTTTAAAATAATGAAGCTAATTTGTTTTACCATATTAGCCAACTAAAACAGTAAAATATGGAAGGTATAAGTTGATATATTTGTATATATGGCTTTCTTCTAATGTAGTCTATGCTAGTAGGTCAGCTATCTTGTGAAAGAAATTAGGTGGTTATAAAAGACTTGGATTTTTTTGTCTAAATTTTTGCTTTGACTTTTGTTTTTTTGTTTGTATGTGTTTGGAACAGTGTCAGTGTTAAATAGGTTTTTTTTTGATTCCTGAACTTTAAAATCTCTGTTTGCCTTATAGTGCCATCAGTATACACAAGGGTAAACATCAAGTCAAGGGGAAAAAAGTAGGTGATATATTTATAACAAATATCTAAATAAAAAATTCCTGTAAGTTCATGATAAGCACAACATTACAAGAAGAAAATGAGCAAAGAGTTGATGAGCATGAAAAAATTTCATTCGATTAGTAATCAAAGGCATGCATGTTCACATGAAATATTTTTGCCTTTCAAATTAGCAGGATGTTTTTTTCTTTAAGAATTACAGTGCTGACAAAGGTGTAATGAGGCGGGCACTTGCATATGCTGCTGGTGGAATCTAAATTACTACGTTCCTGGAATGTACTTTGTCCCCCTCTGCCCCCCTGCTTCATTATTTTAAAAATAGCTCCATTGAAGTATAATGGACAAACAATGAATTGCATATATTTAAAGTATACAATCTGATAAATTTTTACAGATTGTATATGTATATGTGTGTGTGTGTCTATGTGTATCCGTGAAAGTACCACAATCAAGATAATGAAATCTGCACCAGCCCTAGAAATTCCCTCCTGCTCCGCCTTTCCCTTTGTTCCCTGGAAGCCACTGGTGTGTTCTCTGTCAGGGTGGAAGGCCCTTTCTCTGTATGCAGCCAGAGTCTTGAAAATATTGATGGCTATTGACATTCACCAATAATTAGATTTTTAATAATCTTCACGCCTGTCTGCATACAAATTGTACACTTGATAAATATTTACATTATTCTATATTATGTGTAAGGATTCTTATCACTCCATTGACATGATATTTTACTGGATATGAGCCAGTTATTGGAAGCTGTTTAAGTCTTTGGTCATCGTTGATGGAATATGTATGTCCTCTGAGCCCTTAGTCACAGTGTGGGCCACAGAGCAGCAGGATCAGCATCATCTGGGAAGTTGTTAGAAAGGTAGAATCTTGAGGCCCACCTCAGACCTACTGAACCAGAATCTGTATTTTAATAATATCCCAGGTGATTTGTATGTTCATTAAAATTTGAGAAGCACTGTTCTAACACCATTTTAATATTTGTAAAATAGTATCTGGATGTGCCATAGTTTATGTAGTGACGTGGGGTATACTTTACAATTATATTAAATGGAAAAGCAAACATCAGCTCCATATACTAGGGTTGAGATTTTGTTTTTAAAAAGTGCAGTTTAAATAATGCATTCAGGTACATAAAAAGACAGGAAGGAAAGGGATAAAAATATAGAAAGTGGTATTTCTGAACAGAATGTGAGTGATTTTTAATTTTCTTTGTATTTTGTTTCATATTTTTAAGAATAAATATGTATACACTTAAAATAAGAAAACAAACCATTAGTTGATCCAAATCTATTTCTAATGCTTGAATCCCCAAATAGCATTTTAGCAATTAGTGATAACCACTAAGAGCTTAATATATACCCAGACTGGGGGATATAAAGAAGTTAAGACAAATCCTTTCAAGTTACTTACAATATGATGTCATTATTCTATGTCAAAAAGTAACCTGATACACGAAAAGGTCCAGTGCAGAAGGTAAGAGGAGGTTAGAGGGGGGGGAAGTCACAGGGTTGGGTTCTCAGAGTTAGCTTTACAGAAGAGGATGAACAGGATTTGACAACATACGAAGGGAGACCATATATGATCTGAAAATTCTTTCTTCTGGTTTTTTATGAGACAAAACAGTAGTGGTGGTGCATGTGATAAATTCTAAATTTTAGAAGGGAAAGATGCCAAGAGCACTGTCTTCTGCTTAGAATGTTAGTGCAGCAAGTGAATGATTTGCTTGGATTTACTGTAAAATCTTGTGTATGCAGTGCTGTGGCTTACTATTGCAGATTGGCTCATGCTCCATCTCAGGCCTTAACCTTTTGATGTCATGGTGCACATAGAAAATGGTAGTGTTTTCATAGCGCTAGGCTGGAGAATATTTTAAGTGTTTATTTGGAGCTTATTAAAACAAAATACTGTATTTTCTTTACATAAAGAACTAAAATCAGTAAAACCCAAAGTATTAGGAGATATTTTAAATACTGATTTTGTGTTGTTCCCAAATATATTTTTTTCCAAACTCCTTAATGAGAGGCCTGATCTTGCTTTTGACAAAACAACTAATAAAATATCAAATCGTGTGCCTGAAATGGCTATATGCAGTTCTTGATCAAGATATTCTAATGACTGGTTCTGCAAATTCTTGCTAGTCTCTATTGACAAGAAACTTTATTTACCTATGTAGCTGGTGAAATCATTTTAAACTACTTTTAAAACAGTTCAAAAATTGAAAATTATATTTAGAGCCTAACAGTTTTTCTTGTCCTGTCATTGACAAATGTGACATGGATATTTTTTGTGATAATATAAATGGAGCTCAAGTGCAATTGAATTTTTTCATATTGAGTATTTCCAAATACTGGCGAAGTTCTAATTTACAGAGTGTGT